AACAAATCAATGTCAAACTTTGAATGAAACAATTGAGTATTCATAAAACTCAATTTTAAACACAGTAATTCCATTGGTAATCAAGTACCAAAGTCTGCTGTGAAAGGAAGTGCTCTACAATCTTCCACAATCAGACTTTGTTTTTTCTCTGAGGGTTTTTTGTTTTTGCGTTCTTTGGAGCAAACCTTTATCCGAGTTATGTTGGTGGCCGGCAGTAAATCTAAATCAATGGATTAAGTCTGAAAAACAACATGTCCATCTTAAACACTCTCTCATTCACGAAAATTCGTGACGCTTAGTATATTTGAGTGTGCACAGGGTGTGAATGGATACATTGATATACCAAATACATTGCCGTCACTCGGAAACTGGTCAACCAAGAAGAGACCATCCACATGGTGATAGATTGCTCCAGCATTTGTCACGCATAGTTGGTTAATGATTATGTCTTGTACTACACGAGGGTGCATGTGAAGTGGAATAAGGTTATCCAAGGGTAAACATCACACTTCAAGCCAACCTCTTTTCAGAAAATAAAAATGTAATAGAAATCCCGTGGTACTCAGTATGTCAAAAGTATAGAGAACCACACAGGCAGGTAATACTTTAAATAACCTTAGGATTGGGTCTGATGACATCAAAAATTTGGATAGCAATGATCCAAAACAGGGCAAATGGAACCTTTCGAAATCACAACCACCACAAGCATCACCACCGCAGTACCCATCCACTGTGGGAATTAAACTGATTGGAGACTGGGAGAGCGAGAAGATTCAATTTAACAACAGTCGAACCACTGCTCTCCGATTTCCCTTCAAAATCAATCATCTGTTTATTGTCCATTCACATTTGCGTTTCATTAGAGCTAGGTGAATTTGTATTTCAACCGGTAGCCCAAAATTGTCATCTGCACAGCGCGTATTCGCGTGCAACCAAGCTCTTCATACAGTTTTATCACTAACTCGTGCTAACTACCGACTGGGACAGTTCAGCTATTCGACGAGTACCAATCGAACTCATATGAGCGAGCGCAGTCTGTCAAACTATTTGACTTTGTATCCCAACTGGTAGCGTACAGGCTGTACAAAACCGTTCATTCATGGACTGCATTCCAGCCGAAGCTACCAAACCTTTTTCACTAATCTCAATATGATTTTAGATTTTTTTTTCGTTTCCTTCTTTCTCATAAAAATAGGTTATTCCTTAAATTAACGTAAAAGCCAAGCTTGGACTGAACGAACAAGATTTTACTGAAATGTTGTGGGTTTCAATGAAAAAAATGTAGGTTTACAACTTTTAACTACTTTGTTGAAGCATAAAAACTGCAACCGAAAAACGTTTACGCCACCGAAACGCACAATAAAGGTGAGCTTTCATTCTTAGATACACCTTGAAATGAATCACGGAGGATGAATTGCTGTTCAACACGAAACAATTATGTTAGTATTAGGCTTTACATTGGACAATTCAGGATACACAAAAAGGCATACTGGTACTCTGTACGAGGTGAAACTCGCCAAATCCTCCAGTACACTAGAGTACCATGTTGAGTTTAAAGTCTCAACCATGTACCCAGTACTCGCAAAGCTACATGAGGACTGCTTCAGGATCCGATTGCTCACGGTCTAACTATCCCTGATAACAAACAGACCCTGTAAATCACCGCAAAACAGATCAAACATCTCAGAAAGTGTAAAAATAAAATAGTTTTCCGCTTCCTAAACACAATAATTTTGGCTGAGTACGGACAGTCTCTTGTGTATTCCCTTCGTAACCCTCTATCTCTAGTAGTTCATTCATACATAAACTTTGTTCTCCCCGCATCACACAAGAAGGCAATGGTCTATCTTTTTGTCCCGATTAAGTTGGATTTCACTATTTCGCCGAGAGTTCTTAATCATCGAACATGACTGATCAGCTGAAGTATAATCTGTCCCTCGGACGAACACTTACTTGTCTGCTATCAAACTCTCTCATTCGACTATTTTTTCACAACTCATTTGACCGGATGGCAGCGCATAGCAGAATGGCAACCGAGTGTCCCCGTCCTCGAGGATACTCCGAGCTTATGGGTAGAAACAATGTATACCCTCATTTGTGAGTGCAATATTGAGATTTATCACTTTCTTTTTGTATCACACAAATACGTATTGCGGTTCTAAATACTCTTCTAAATACACTTTTTCATATAATAATTCAGCTCAGTAGAACTCTTGTGCGGTAGGGGGAATTAAACCGACATTGTGATGCTTTAATTGTGAAAATTTCAGCAGCCTCGGTGGGATTCGAACCCTCTCCTGTACAGTGTATGCTCTACCGGTTGAGATATGAGTCCACATCGAATTTCGCTGATCGTTTCGAAAAATAAACATCAGATGATCAAGTGATGTTTGCGCTTAAAGAAAAAGTTTAAAGTATGTTAGGTTTCTTATCAAGACTATATGGTTTCTTTAAGTTTACATATGTACTTTTTTATTACACACTTTCGTGTGATGGAAATCACATAGTCATGAGGACCTGCTAATCATTGATGGAAACCTGTAATCTGAGCCCCGGGACTTGGAGTGGCGAACCACATAAGGCCTCGATATTAAACCGGACGACAGCAAAGCTGCCTACCATCAAAGTTGAGTGGCGGTGACGGGGCTCGAACCTCGGACCATAGGGTCCAAAGCAAGCCTGTGACAGCGACTAAACCACTGCGCTACCACCATCCAATCCAGTGATTTTAAACAATTGATACACAAAAATTGCTCAACAAGTGTTCCTCGAAGCCGATAACCGGAATAGCTGTCATTGTTGCCCCCGGTCGTGTTTAAATTTTAAACCTGAACATATCATTGTAGTATTGATCACCGTACTTTTAATACCAACTTTAAAGTCAATAAAGAAACCAGTCAACCTTGAAACTATGCCCATTGTTAGTGTATGGGTATTTGGAGTTAAGTCACCTCGAGAATCGTATTTCCTGATATGCGAATAACTTTTCTGTGCTCGGAAATGGTCAATATTTGGGTTTTAAATATCAATTCGGATACAGTGGGAACAACTAATTCATTTGGCTTATGCTTATCCCAATAATCAATGTAGAATAATTTAAAAAATTTCTCTTTTTTCCCCTTCCTTGTGCATTTTTATTTATTTTTATTGAATATATAAATGTACAATTTTCAGGAAGAGGCAGGTGGCCATGGTTGCCGTGAAACTCATGGAGAGAATGGGGGAAGTAGGCGGTGACGGCGAGATTGCAGCACACATCCTTCGTTTCAGGTAATCGCGTTCGTCCACTGGAACAAGTGGTTGACCTTCACATGTTTTGCGCATATGACCAAAACGATTACTACGGTAAGCGACGTTTGCCGAGGCAGGCAGCGGATGGAAAAAAGTCAAGGGCGGTCAAAGGAAACCCAGGTAGGACCATGACACTGGGTCACATAAGTTCCGTTAGACTCCTTGGATGGAGATCCCCAGGATCCTGGTAACCGGTAATTTACTCATAAGTGAAACGCAAACCAAATGCTGTATCTATGCACGAAGTATACCGGCCGGAAGGGAAAGGGCTCTTACACAGCGGCGAGATACAAATTTTCTACTTACTCGACAGTGGCCAGTCAAATTTTCGGTTAGATTGAGCTGCAGAACAACTCTGCTTATCTCTCTCTCTCTGTGTCACGTGATTGTATCAATAATGTGTTCATCTTCGACTGCGAATAATCCTTGCCCACGTAATTGATTATACATGATTTTCAAATCCAAATCTTGGCCCCATGTGTGTGTGTGGTAAACGGACAATGCTAATGATATTGGAAGGTTTAGATCTACTTGAACGCATAACAACATAGGGCAATATGTTATCAAGACTATAGTAAAATTCAGGAATTGCTAGTCATTTTGTTCTTGCGGTAGTATGTTGTCCTTTGGTTAATGCACAGATTTTTAGCTCACGCCTGATTTACACGACGAATTCATCATATAAACAAATCACACCCTTCATTACTCTCATACAACAAATAGTCAGGTTGTGAAAGTTTCCAACCGAGCCCTAGGGTTTAGTGATGAGATCACCGATGACCGTATTCGCAACAAGCTCGCAAAAACGAATTGTGCTATATTGTGCATATTCCAAATGCGAAACGGTCTGATCAGCTGCCCGGTGGTCGGGTGGGTAGCTGTATGCCCGCTTTCTACCTGTTAGGTCCCGGATTTGCGATCCACAGTTTGGCCGGTGCATTTGCTCACTACCGATGAGACCCGACCAGGTCGACACAGCTGTACAGTAGTGCTTTCTAGCTTCACAGCCCACGCCTCATTTACACAGTGAGTTCATCATGTAAAAGATATAAAGGATTTACAGTTTACATTTACAAAAGCAATCACCTGCTCCTGTAAAGCATCAATACAGTTTCACGTTTACAATCACATAAGACCTCATTAGGATTTTAATCTTTGGGGCTTGATATTCATCGTGACTTACCTTTCATAAGTTACCTAGTTCAGACATGTATCGACACCATATTTTACAATCACCTTTCACACATTGCTTGTCAATTGAAATCAATTCTATCGATGACTTCATTCCATTTCGCTTGATCATCGAGTAATTGGCAATCTCTTTGCAAACGCTTCCGCATCACCAACCGTGGTGACATGATCAGTGCTTGTGAAGTAGCAGTGTTGTGCCTGTGCGCGTTCGTTTCTATAAATTTTCTTCTCCACCGACTATTTTCATCCCTTTTTCTCACTGTGTTTGACTCGGTTGGGCGTTAAACTGGTGCGAAAGAGTGAGGGTGAGAGGCGAGTTGTCTGTTCATTCATTCTGATTGCGGTTTCAGTCCGTTTTCAGGCCACAGTGTGACACATTTTGTTGCATCACTTCATCCTTGAGTTAGACTGGCTTGCAGACGTGATCCGCAACTTCATCAAAAGAACTCTGACTCAAAGCAGGAAAGAAACAACAGTCGGGGAATAGGGAACAAGAACAACCCTGCCGTTCATCAAGGACGTTCCGGAAATGACAGCAAGACTGCTCAGATCATATTGGAGCCAAGTCGCTCAAAAACCTAGGGCCTATCGAAGGGGACTTCTGTCAAAACCACAGGAGAGAACACTAGAGAAGGACAAGAGCAGCGTAATCTACAAAATAAACTGCATGAACTGCCCAAAACATCATGTCCCACAAACGGGAAGAAAACTGTCAACAAGGATCCGTGGACACCAGTCGGCAGTCAGGAGATATGACCCCCCCCCCCTATCGTTGATTTCCTTGCTCGAAGATCAAGAAGGACATCAGTTTGACTTCGAATCAGTGAGAATTATCGACCAAGCCCGGTCAAAACATGCCAGAGTATTTCTCGAGGCTTGAGACTCTTCAGTCAACTCAATGAAACAGGCACATCGAGCTAGATCACGTGTACACGCCAATGGAACTCAATAATCAAATGGCGCAGCCAAAATGATCACGCCGTGACCTGTGAACGGAACAAAACCGTAATCAGGAAGAATGGACAACCTCCTCCCCTCCCATCCTCACTCCCGTGCACCAGTTGAACGGCTACCCGAGTGAAATACAGTGAGAAAAAGAGACAAAAATACTCGGTAGAGAACACACGTATATAAACGAACGGATGCAAACAGAACACAGCAACTTCACAGGCACTGATGAGATCATTTCGGCTGGTTATGTGGAAACGTTTGCGGCGAAATTGCCAATTACTTGGCGAACAGGAGCAGTTCACCCGAGACCAATGAAAACCGATTTTCAATATTTTGTCAACAGATATTTATCCCCAGTCGATAACCTACTAACGTGTTGAGAATTAATTGTAGTCGTTTAATCAATATCACTAGCGGCAATATCATTGTTTGCCGGTTGGAAGTTTAAAAAAAAGTAGTCCCGACAGTAAAGAACAAGTCAATTCAGTCTTCCACGAATCATTCATAATGCCGTGAGGGCTTGCAGAGAATCACCGAAGTTAGCCCCGCCGTCATGGGCAACGCGTACCGGTCTGCTGCCTGACAAGTGGACAGATCAAAATCACCGGGGTTGAAACACGTGCGATCATGTGTGTGATGCCATTGTCACTTTGTTACCGAATGTACGGTTCCACTTCACAACGCAGATTTGTTTCACAAGAATCCAATCGGATAGGATGCTTTGGTTTTTTAATCACTGAATTCATGGCCTAAAAAGGTGACTTATCTAGAGGCATGGTTGACCTGAATGATATCATACAGTGTTTCAATGCGTCAGATTGCTGAAGGGCTTGTTCATGAGTTTGAACAAAACATCATGTTCTTTCTGACCACGGTTCACTGCTTGAAACGACGATGTTTTGCACGGGATTGAGTGATTCTTATTTATCTAATGGAATACACTAATTTCCCAATCTCATTGTACATATATATATACAACAAGTAGTATGCGAATGGCTGGACATAATGCCCCTGGAAGCACACGACCGGTTTCGCGGATCTACTAGCTCGTCAGGCATGCGTATCTGGTAATCTTTTGGCATATAATACTTATTGTAAAAACATTTCACAAAGACGCTTAAGTCACGTTTGTTGCAGTCAGTAGCTTCCAATCTACTAACAGAACATCAAATCATAGTATCGATTCCCCCAATGTACTTGTTTTGAAAGAACTGTCCAAACAAATATTCCCGGTTTTGAAAATGAGGTTATTGCGACGTAGACTGTGGTTTCAGTCTTGACAAGGCAGCACTGTGAATGAGCCACAGACTGAACCAAACAGCTTCCCCGTCACCTTATTTTACAACCGCTATTTACGTATTGCTTGTCAATCTCAAGCAATTCTATCGATGATTTCATTTCAGCTACGTCACCCACGACCCGGAGGATTTCATCTATTTGGATCTGGGCACTGTCGGACTGCTGTTGTTCAAATGTGGTTGATCACCGAGCTGGACGAGGAACGGCGGCAAGCATTCATCGCAACGTGCCTTGGAATTGAACCACACACCCGTTTGAGGGCAACCGTCCTCCGTGCATTCATTGTATAGTATAGAGTGTGTTGGCAACAACGCGGGGTCTGTATAATTCCATAATGTTCAAAATGTATCTTTATCACATTTCTTTACTCCACTATAATACACATAACAAAGTGGAAACGCGCATTCTTTCATTTTTCCGAACGTATCTTTGACAGTCCACGGTTTCCTCGATAAGTTGGAATTTCACCTACTGTCGTCTGGAAAAAACAACTGCATTGAACATGTTACCGCGGGTGACAGGTAAACGTTCAATGATGAAACCAAAGGGGGAACAGAACCGCGTAGTTTTGCAAACTTATTAGGATGAATCTTCTGAAAGGAAAAACGGTGATCTGTGTGTGATGCATCAACTGTCTAAAATAAACATTTTTGTCATTACAATTTGCATAGCGAAAGGGAATATAACCCAGTGAGAGTAGTCGATGAGCCGAGTTCCAAACAACCGGTGGTGGTTAGTCTTTCGATTTTATGTCTACAGTTCAACAACATAATATATCTGAACAGTGTACCGGGTATTATGGATAGAAATGTCTAGGTGCTAGATTTAATTTATCATTTATCATTCAATTCCGCTCTTCCCAAAATAAAATTTGTTTTGCAAGAAGAGATGACTGGCAGAATTACTTTTCTGGACATCCAGGCAAATGTCTCACAGAAAGTTCGATTCGAAGATCCGACTGCGGAAAATCGATTTCGAACGGTCAGTACTTTCATTTTAGACGCATTTTTTTCCGCCCAACTGAAAAATAAATTCATGGTTACCAATGGGGCTGTGAACCTCCTTGCTGAAGACAGTATCGTGGTTGAATGATCTCATTCGTTCCTGATGCTTTCCTAAGTTTTATTATGGGAATAGCTTACAAGCTGGTGTTTCTCTTGTCCCATAGGATGTTTACATAGATGAATCGTCACACATCGGAAAAAGGAGTCACATAGAGATCCGGGTAGGAGATAGAGAATGTAGGCTACAGTGAATTCCCGTTTGCCTTTAGTATATGAATATGAGGTGTGCCAAGATTTTGTCGAGTCTCCGCTTGAAAGATTCAATAGTGGGCGCACAAACGACATGAGATGGAAGGGCATTCCAAGATTTGCATACTCTGACTGCAAAAGACTGGCGCCGGCAATCCAGTCGAGACTTTGGAATCAGTAGTTTGAAACGGTGTCCCCTTAGGTGTACATTGTTTGATAACATGAGAAGCGATCGACACGGATGGTTTGGGTTCTTCAGTATTTGATACTTCAAAATCAAGTCTCCTCGAGTTCGGTGATACTGAGCAGAATACAGTCCCATTGATCGCAATCTGTCCTCGTATGACAGGTATTGTAATCCCTTGACCATCTCGGTAACCATCCTTTGTGGACGCTCAAGCATCTTGCGATCACGCTGAAGCCATGGACTCCAAGCTTGGATGGCGTGCTCTGTATAGGGTCGAATGTACGCTGGTAGCAAACGTGGGAATAGTAATGATTCAAACCGGCCAAAGACTCACCGAAGTAAGCCAACATTCTTCATAGCAGCAGACGAAGCCTTCGCACAGTTGTTGGAGCAGCTTAAATCCTCCTGAACAACAATATCTAAATCCTTTTCGCTAGAAGTATGTGGTAGCTGCTGG